ATCAAACGCAACTTACAAATTGGAACGTGATCTTGAAAATTTATTTTAAATATAGTAACAGATATTGTTAAAAATATTTATTATAATTCGTTATGAAATACATTCGTGCACTGTTTTTCTGTTGTATGCAGAATGCTTTTTTCAATTGAAAATCACTTTTTTTTATTAACCTTAACAATTCTCTATGCATATAAATAATGCAAAATTCCTTGGTATTATTTGCGTATATATTTGAAAATCTACAATCAAGTTACTTTCCCATGCTCTAAATTTACATTAACTAAAATTATAAAAAAGTGCAGCCAAGTGGATACCGTGTTAAATTTCGACATACATGGTGTCCCAAAAATGTCTCGCAATCCGAAAGCAGGGGATTCCTGAGGTCATTTGAAGCAACTTTTTCCTTAGCGAAAATGCAATCCGCGGCTTCATTTACGAGTTATGCCAATGAGCGGAACTGGGCTCCGTGCGCTCGTTGGCTGGGCCGCCGCGCGCCAGCCGAGCTCGCCTCTTATTGGTCAATGTTTTTCGTTAATAACTCGTAAACGAAGCCTCGGAGGAAATTTTCGCAAAGGAAAAAGTTGCTTCAAATGACCTCAGGAACCTCCCTGTAAATAGTATACATATAATAGGAGGTGAATCGGGAGTGAATTCAATTATAAATCACAGGAGTCACAATCAGTTGTTACCAAGACTGTTGTTAGGTTTGCACGTGCAATTTGTCTAGGATTAGGAGCTTTACCCTCAGTATACTTCCATAAGTCCTACCATTCTATCTTCGGTAGCTGTAATGGGCAGAGGACTAACGAAGGCATAGGAACGAAGATCTACAGCTGTGAGGTGAGTATTTCAGTTTAATATTGCACTTATATTACACTATCTTCTCACGCATTTGTTAAAAGAAGCAAAAGACTATTCTAGAACGCATATTATCGTTATCCGAGTAAAATTATCATTCAGTAATTACATACATGCGTAGTAGTATATTTCAGGAATAATTATTTTCGAACAATTATATGTTATTTCATTAGTCAACGTAACGAGTATATTTATAATTAATGATATAACAATGAGGGATATGTAAGATATGAAATCTACAATATACGTATTATACAGGGTGTCCCAAAAATGTCTCGCAATCCGAAAGTGGCGGGTTCCTCAGGTCATTTGAAGCAACTTTTTCCTTCACAAAAATTTTTTCCGAGGCACCATTAACGAGTTATTGACGAAAAACAGTGACCAATGAGAGGCGAGCTCGGCTGGCGCGAGGCGATCGAGCCAATGAGCGGAACTGAGCTTCGTGCGCTGGTTGGCTGGGCCGCCTCGCGTCAGCCGTACTCGATTCTTATTGGTCACTGTTTTTCGTTAATAACTCGTTAACGGTGCCTTGGAGAAAATTGTTGTAAAGGAAGAAGCTGCTTCAAATGATTCGAGGAACCCGCCATTTCCGGATTGCGAGACATTTTTGGGACATCCTGTATTACTTAAGTCAGTTAAATATGCAAAATTACTTTTCAATGACTTTATTTTCAAACGTTGGCACAAAATTGCTTTCTCGTGTTATTTTTAACAACTAAATAACAAGAAGTTTCGTACGGGATATGTTCTACATTGCATTTCGAACTATTTTGAGCAGTCTATTTAAGGAGGATATGTTTATGTCCTAAAACAAAGCGTTCAAATTCTTCCTAAACGCAGCTGCAATTTTCGACCTCATATCGATCCGAACAACTTTATTCGCAACGTGACCGAAAACGACTTTTACTCTCCATTAAATCTAAATCATTTTACGCTACAACTTACGTACAATATAGTATAAAACTTGTATAATAAAACAGTACGAAATCATCGATCGATCGATCTGTAATTGACTCGTTATCACTTACGCGTTACTCAAATGCCTTGTATAGTTACAGTGCTGGGTAAAATATTGTTGTAAATAAAACGAATAGCCTATTCTGTTCTAAGTAATACGTATAATTGCGTACATTGCGTGTACAACTTTAAAATTATAATATCTTATTTGTTGCAACCATTTTTTTTGAATAACATCTAAGGATGGTATCTTATTTGAAAGAAACTGAAAGTGAGGTTTCATAAACCATAAAATCGTTTTATTTAGTCTTACCAACGATATTGATTCTGTGTTCAAAGATAACAGCCTAAACGTCGATAATTTTTAGCGATGTATTTTATTACACATGAATAATTCAACTTAAATTATATTTACTTCGCTAAGTACAATAATTTCTCCCCAATTCGCGCACATAAATGGACAATTGGGGAAGAGGAGATACGATTATTCGTATCTCTTTCTCTCAAATTGTCCATTTTTGTGCGCAACCTAAACGCGAATCAGGGAGAAACTACTATAATTATGATTTCTTACACTATAAGAGCATCTTTTCTTTTACGTCAATTGTTAAGGTTATGTTTAAGTTACGTAAGGTTATGTTTCGAGCACATTATTCTTTGACGTCCAATTCGAAAATATCTGAACCAATGCTTCAGATCACCGAGCTCAAAATCATCTACTCGGCGTATTCTCCTTTCTAAGTTAAAATTTTATTATCTCAACTCCATAGCATTAAAAATATTCTCTTTTAATTTTGCCCAGCTCTGCGTAGTTAGCACAACTTATAAGAAGAAAAAAGAAAACGCTAATCGACTAGCATATTTACTATTACGGATGAGTGCACGGTTCCTATATTTGCAGGGAAAGTTGCTGGTATATCCAGTCCAAGTGTTTCGCGACGTCCACGTAAACAACGTAATGGGTGAGGTCGCAGGACATGTTAGTCTTGTCCAGGAATGACAGCGAGACAACACCTCGGAGGAAATAGCGATCAACGTTGGCCTCGTACAGGACAAAGCCGCTTCCGCTGTCGCCGTTGCAGGGACCGGTTCCGTTTCCTGAACCCGCGCAGAACGTTCGGTCCGAGGCTATGAACACGAACTCCTTCTTGCTGAAGAGGCAGGTGTCCTATAATTCGTTCGGACAATTAACAGCTTGAATTTTAATAGCTTTCGGTTTAATATCTTTTAAAACACGGGTTTCATTTTAACAAAAATTGTGCAGGTAAAATACAAAACGGCAGCAACGTTAACACATTCGCTACAATTGTAGCGCACACTGTATATTGTATATACAGGGTGTCCCAAAGATGTCTCGCAATCCGAAAGTGGCGGGTTTCTCAGGTCATTTGAAGCAACTTTTTCCTTTACAAAAATTTTCTCCGAGGTACCGTTAACGAGTTATTAACGAAAAACAATGACCAATAAGAATCGGGTACGGCTGACGCGAGGCGGCCCAGCCAACCAGCGCACGAAGCCCAGTTCCGCTCATTGGCTCGGTCGCCTCGCGCCAGCCGAGCTCGCCTCTCATTGGTCACTGTTTTTCGTTAATAACTTGTTAATGGTGCCTCGGAGAAAATTTTTGTAAAGGAAAAAGTTGCTTCAAGTGACCTGAGGAACCCGCCACTTTCGGATTGCGAGACATCTTTGGGACACCCTGTATATACATATATTATTTTATGTATATTATTTTATATATATTATATATACATATATCATTGTAAGTATATTATTTTATGTATATTATATATTATAATTTATTCTTCGTTGCACGAAACGAATGAAATAAAAGAAACAGTCAAACAAAATCTGTAACTTCTGTAAATATCATATGTTACCATTTGAAATAATGACATCCACAAAATTAAATTGTTGTTATTCACGTGAAATACAAAATTGCGATCCTTACACACGTGTGACACTAGTAACGAACGTGTTAGACGAATTTTAATACCAAACGAGTAGATAATAGAACAAGATCTCTATTATTATTAATATTGTTTGTAATAAATAAAAACGAAATTTAGCAAAATCTAAAAATGTATGTAAGTGGAGACATATCAACACAGATGGTTTCGTTCTATTACAGACATTATTAAAGAAGAACAGTGGTTTAACTTTTTTGTATTCTAAAAATTGTATTATGAAAATAGTAATTAGGTAATGAACTACCTTTCAAAGGCAAAGAATCGCGAATAAAGACGAATTATACGAAAAAGGTACGTGAATCACAAATTTACCTGACTGACGATTGGAGTCCGGACCATTCGAGGTTCCTCTAGATACACATTCCCCAATTCGTCGCGGCCCCAACCCACCACGATTCCAAATCTGTTTACAACGAGATTCAACGACGGAGAGCCGGACCAAAGGCAAATTGGTTTAATTACGGGGCTATATTCGACGCTCGTTCGTAAAACCATTACGGCTATATCAGCATCGGCGCTGGCTTTCGACTTCCCAGAAGACTGTGCGTAATCAGGGTGAACCGTGTAGCCGGCCACTTCTCGATTCACCGATCCTGCCTCATCAAAGTCGAGCAGTTTGAAACGTCCTAACGACACCACCATTGCACCTATTGGTAGAGATGCTTTCTGATACACGAAACAATGTGCGGCTGAAAAATTAAACGCAAACATCCATTTTTCCTGAGAATTTATATATTGTTTCTGAAAAATATAAATGCAATATTAGAGGCAAATGTAACATATAGTAATACCGCAAGTACACCATAAATTGCAGTATACAGGGTGACTAAAAATTACTGTGCAAGCAAGAAATAGGTTTCTAAGGTCATTTGAAGTAACTTCTTCCTTTACAAAAATTTTCTCCGAGGCATCGTTTACGAGTTATTAACGGAATACGGTGATCAATGAGAGACGAGCTCGGCTGGCGCGAGACGGTCGAGCTAATGAGCGGAACTGGGCTTCGTGCGCTCGTTGGCTCGGCCGCCGAACGCCAGCCGAGCTCGCCTCTCATTGGTCACTGTATTCCGTTAATAACTCGTAAACGATGCCTCGGAGAAAATTTTTGTAAAGGAAAAAGTTGCTTCAAATCACCTCAGGAATCACCTACTTTCGTATTGCGAGACATTTTTGGGACACCCTGTACGCGCATAGATAACGAAGCGCATTTCACCAATTTCTTTCCTTCTTTCTTTTCGTCTCAATCTTTCGCCCGCTGCTGTACATCAGCTACTGCATTACAAACCATAAGAGACATCTATGAAAGTACCTGTAATAACATGATTGGGCGTCACAAGCGATCCTGCGCAGTGGAACTTGTATCGGGGCACTAAGACAAGAAATATCGCGGCCAGCCAGGGATATTCGCCGCGGTTGATTTTCTCACCCCCCGCGATCAAGAAATTAAAACCCGAAGCGTTGAAGCGGCCGCATTCCTGTTGAGTAACGAAGTCCACCACGTGTGGAACAGGTTGAATCGTCGGATCTGGTCTGGGCGTTGGTATTGACCAAGACGTCGGGGTCGGTTGAGGAACTGGACTCGGTCGAGGAACTGGGCTCGGTCGAGGCGGTGGAAAAGGTATAACTGGATCCGTATCTGGCGTAAGGATTTGCGACGGCGAGTCAGCTACATTCGGAAAGCCTGGACCGATGTTCTTGTCGTCAACGTTCAGGAGCGGGACACCCGGTGGATAGAGGGTGTGATTCAGAACGATGGATGTCACTAACTGTCCGGTTGCTGAAATGAGAAAGGTGATGGTAATTATGGCGTAAACTTCAAGACAAAAGAGGTTAATTTTTTGCAGTGGTCAAGTTGGTAATTGTTTTCGAAGAGAACGATTTCAATGACCTTGAAGCATAACAGTATTAATTAAGTAGTATAATATTATTAGTATAATATTAAGTAAGAAGAATTTAGTATAATAAGAAGAATATATAATAAGAAGAATATATATATATAAAAGAAGAGATATAGAAGAAGATACATAAGAAGAATATATAATAAGAAGTATTTAGTATAATATTAAGTAAGTATAACATAATTAATAAATAAGATTATCAGCAATCTCTAATCGCATTAGCAATAGTTAATAATTCGCTAATGATAATAATCGCTAATAATTAGCATAAAATGTGGACAGAATTAATGTGAACGCAACAATTATTTGACATTTTTACATGACGCTGCATTGTTGTGTTAGCTTTGAACAATTCTTGCCAATTGCAAGGATGGCGAATTAGTGACAAATGAAAACAGTTGTTGGAACAATATTTAAGCCGAGGATGGGAGAGATATAATCAAAGGAGGGTATATTGTTTTACTAAAAAATCAACATAAATTGTATTCTCCATAAAACAATGTTTCTACAACAAATACTGTATTTTTTTAAATGTAATAACCCGTGTTCACATTAATTCGCACAATACTATATGTTCTCCGAATTAACAACGAGCAGAAGACTGTAAACACGAAAATAATCTTCTGTTTCTAGGTGAAGAAGTGTTTACGTACCGTGTCGACCAATACAAATCTGAGCGCCGTTGAACCAAATCTCATTTAAATTTGGTAGTGGATCCGGAAGAGGAAAACGAACATTGTACATCAGGGGCCTGCCCTGTTCAACGGCTTTAACCGATCTATCTCTCGACTGCGCCAATTGCAGTCGGCCGACATATTTCTGAAATTCAATAACAAACGTCGATGATTACTTTATTGAAATGACATTATCGGAAATGACTGCTTTTACAGAAACAGAATGCCCAAATTCAGGTTCAAAATGAAGCCTTGTTAGACGATCAAGTGAATCGCACAAGTCAAAAATTCACCCCATTTTGAAGTGTTGCGAAAGTACGGAGTTCTCAGTATTTTTAGCAACATTGAATTTATATTTATTTCTATTAATCCTCGGACTGCGGTTACCGGGGCAATTAAAATAATATTATAATATTATATAATATATTGTATTATAATATAATACAATAAATGCAATACAATAATATAATACAATAATACAATACAAGTATAATCTGCAAAGATTATAAAATGTTATGTTAACTCATTATCTATCTGCGATCATTTTATAATTTCCGAAAGTTTCGTGATGAAGATCTAATAATAATAATAAAATGATCTAATAATTTCGTTTAGGATTAAAATGTGGCAGGAGATTGTTTATACATTTCTCCTAACAATAATTGAAAAAAATAACAATAATTGAAAATTCTATTAACAGACTTTCGGTAGATAAAACGTTGACTATAGCGTTAACTATTTAAAATAAACATTAGTAAATAAATATAATCTGCATTGCATCAAACAGTTTTAAATAAAAATGTGCACGCGTCGAACGTTTTATTTCCATCATTTCCCTTTATTAATTGTGCTTCTGTGATCGTTGGATCCGCGTATAATGTTTACAGTATTTTTCTGTTCCACTCGCACCAATGTTCGCCGAGAAGTTCGCCACGTTATCGAGTGATCCTTCGAATCTCAAAGACGTTCTTGCATTCTAAAAATGAAATGTTGCTTCAAGTGCGAGGAAAAATGCGAGTCGTTTTAATCGTTTATTCGTCGTATTGAACGACGTCACGGTTCTTTGTCTGCTGATCACGCGATACTCGGATTGGAAAATTGTACAGAATGTGTTCCTAAAACTTGCAGATCTTCCCAGAAACCTTGGAAAAATTACGATTCGAACAATAAACAGGCCAACAATGAGCACACATGATTCTACTATTAAAATGTGATTTGAATTTGAGTTACGTTTTATGAGCTCATTGCATTGTTAAGGCCCGTGAAATCCTGCGATCGAACGCTGTTGAATTTTGTTCGCTCTTGTTGCACAAAGCCAAAAGTTCACTTCAACAGTTTATAATCTTACTGCAAAATCCGAATTATACAAGGAATTGACTAATAATTTTTAAATAATCTAGTTACACTAATAATAGCCAAATTGTAAGATATACATTTTATCATGAAATAAGAATATTTCATACACAATTTGACGTACTTTTTCTTCTGTTTTTTTATTAAAATTATATAATTAAATATAAATCTATTTTATTGTTAAATCAAATTGTTTTTATAAAATTGTGAGAGAATGTTGTGAAATGAGAAATATTTGTTCACCTTATTGAATATTCTTCTTCTCATTGTATCTACTTTATTAAAAAATAGCATCGAAATAATTATTACGATCTGGTGATTCAATTGATGATTTTTTCATTATAAGTTAGAGTAAACATTTCTAATAAATCTTTTTACAATACCACGTGTATTTTTCGAGGAAATTGAGTTTCGAAAACAGAAGAATGCATCATAAACTACTAATTTGTATAAAAAGGAAATAAATATTATTATTAATGCTTCCAAAGCAAGAAACAACAAGTACATTATGTAACTTACATCGACTATTATTAATGCCATACACTGGCATCATTAGTGCACTGTCAACAGCATAAGTTGACAAACTATTGCAATAATTATGCGCGATTTTTTAAGAAAACAATAAAGAACGAATGTTTAATAAAGAATAAATTAACGATTTAATTATGCATTTGTCAATTTTTCTCCACACTAAAAATATAATTATAAATCGTAATGGAGACGGTGCCATCTGAGAGGTGCACGATCAAACTCAGCAATGTCTTTCAGAATGTCTGAAGTCTGTACTGCATCGGCATTCATAACTCTCGAGAAAATACATATGTATGGATACAGGTAGAATTGCTCACAGAAACACCAGGAGACCAGTACAAGTGGGGAATCCCGAGTTCTCGATTGCAAACTATTGTTGCAATCGACCGTAAATCGACAGAAAAATAAAAAAGTGTAGTTTTAAAATGCTGTAATGGGAGCCCCGTTTAATCCAGGTTCTGTCAATGTTCTTCTAAATGTTATTTTAATTTCCCTCATTTTTTCAGGGAATTCATACAACGCAGTGCACTTCGTTACTGTTTTAGTAATAAATTAGAATACTTCTAGATTGGAGAACTATTGCTTGAGATTTTGTTTGAAATTTTTGTGTGTTTCTGGCGCGTTAAAATCGCAAAAAGTAAACACAATAAAATAGTATGGAAGAAATATGCGAAAGAGCGAAAACTGGTTTTAGTGAACTCTGGATTGTGCACATAAAAGGATCCTCTTGAGATCCTCCTTTTAAGAAATAATGTCTTTGCTGAAATAAAAGTGCTAAAGTTTTAAGGACAAAAACGCGATGAGAAGTAATAAAAAAAAATGACGATTCAGAAAAGAGAAACAAATTATAGTCTTTTTGATATATTTTGCATGAGAAAAGGAATAGATTCTCTCTCTTTCTTTCTTTCTCTCTCTCTCTCTCATTCTCTCTCCATCTCTCTCTTTCTTTCTCTCTCTCTCTCATTCTCTCTCTTTTTCTCTCTTTCTCTCATTCGCTCTTTCTCTCTCCTTCTCTCCATACTCTCTTCTCTCTCTTTCTCCTATTCTCTCTCTTTTTATCCCTTTCTCTCATTCTCTCTTTTTCTCATTCTCTCTTTCTCACTCTTTCTCTCTCCTTCTATCTTTCTCGCTCTTTTTTTCTTTCTCTCTCTCTCTCTTTATCTCCCTTTTTATCTCTTTCTTTCTCTCTCTCTCTCCCTCTCTGCCCCTTTCTCTCTCTTTCTGTCTTTTTGCAATTAAAACAATGCAACATTATGACGAATCGAAAAAATCAATTTCGTTTTTTTATATAATATTTAAGTATGATCTACTGAAAACACGTGCCTAAAGTACTAACGTGATGTTAGGCTATTTTCTAATTGTTGAACAAAACGACGACTGGCTGAACCAAACGTGAAGTATATTAACAATACATAGAAAACAGTAGACAGAAAAACTGTACCTCGCCTAAGAAGTAGAGTGAATCATCTCGGAAAGATGCAATGACTATAACGTCGCGATGCATTATTTAAGCGTCGTACATTATCTGCGGATAATAATTAGACCAACAATTTGTAACTATCGCATCGGGGAACACTTACGGTGTCCCAATGATTCCAATTCGCAGAGCTTCTTCCGTAGGAATTTAAACGTTAAAAATCAATGGATATTTGAGCCGTTTATTTTGAAAGTGGCATAAGTCACTTTGTTTTTAAGTCGATATATTTAATATACATAATAGTTTATAATAGTTTAATGTATAATAGTATAATAGTATAATATATATATATATAATATAATAATATAATAGTATATAATATATAATAGTTTATAATAGTTATTTAATATATATAATAGTTTGCGTTTTAACACGTTTAAAAATATGGATGCTAACTTTCGAGAAGATTTACTTGTATCTGTTATCTCAGGATACTGATATTTTTCTCGGTATAAATAATTTCGTGTAAACATTAAAAAATCTCCGCTTTTCATTACGGTAAAGTGACTTATGCCATTTTCAAAATAAACGGCTCATTTGTTGATCGACCATTAATAATTTGATTATTAAAGCAGACATTATAGGTAGCGTAATATTATAAAATTGTTTGTGTATGATAAATTTTGACATTAGCTTGCTCGTGTGCGAGGTACGTAAACTTTGAACTTACATAGCGTTTTCCTCGAACGATATCTCAATTTGTTTTTTTTAAATTATCCTCGTCAGCTGTGAATAAATTGACACATCGTTCTACGTACTTATTAGAATTACTACATTTAAGTGTGGAAAAATTAAAAAAAAAAAAGATAATATTGACTACTACTTTTATTACCATAAAATGCGTCCAGTCCTGTAAGCAACATTTTAGGGATTCCTGTTTGAAGTCTAACGTTTTTATAAAAATTACAATTGACAGACAAGCTCGATTAAAACTACATCAATATAAATCACAGGAAAGTGATTTAACTTGTCTCAGTTTAACAAAGCGTGACCGAATCGTGACGCGATTAACACTAGATTTACGAGACCCGTGAAAATGACGTAATTTTTTCATTTACGATTATTCATGAATCGTAAAGATACATTTATATGAGTTATTCATTCAATTTATTATATGAATGAACGTCTTATTGTTACTTTTATAAACTAATATAAAACAGCTGTTTTTTTGTGCTCCGAAAATCTAGTGTTAAACATGCGAGAGAAATACTCAAATGCTAAATAAATTGATTCGAAGGTCACAATGTCGTCGGCCCTTAGCACCAGAATTACCGAATCCCAACCACAACCAACGAATATTGTTTTTCTTTTAAGTAAACTGCGGATCTTTATGCAAAATAAACATTTTCTGCACCAGCTGCAAGAACTAAACAGCGAATATAGACAGTTCTATCTCCCTTTAGCAATTCCAGTAGGTTCACAATAACACATTAGCGTCCTTTTGCTTGGTCTTCTTATTGCTTTAAATGTCACGCAATCTTTCGGTAATGCATTAAATCCGCAGCCTATTTATAATTATAATTTCTGTAATGTAATGTAATGTAATGTAAATATAATGTAATGTAAATGTAATGTAATGTAAATGTAATGTAATGTAAATGTAATGTAATGAAAGTATAAAATATGTAAAATATAAAATATAACCTTGACAAATAAACTAATTCTACTGGTAAAATAGTATTTTTGGAACTCCATTACCGTGGGCAACGCAACAGCAATGCTCAAACTGACGCTGAGTTGCAAGGGCACTCCCTTTGGTGGCACTGGTATCTGAACGCGTCCGGTGAATTCGTTCGTGTCGTCGTTGTGAATGTATCGGAAGTAATCGGGAATGCAGCTAGTCGGATCAGCCGCTTCGACGAACGACCGAAGGAAGCTCACCAGCAGCGCGCTCTTGATAATCAGCGTGATCATTCTGGAGTTCTGCAGCACAGGATAACAAGCTTTCGATTAAAATGCTCCAAAGCGTGGTCTAACGATCAACGAGACCGCTTAATGTTGGATCGCGGGTGGACCTGGACGTCGGGACAAGTTCCGCGATCTTTATTCAGAAATCGAGACGACGGAATTAGGCGCTTCGACCGAGTATATCGATAGATAAAATGATATACAGTAATGTCTCTCTAATTGACGCTCAGATTGTCCACAAATATGGACAATTTGGGGAGAGGAGATACGATTATTCGAGCCTTGCGGTTTGTTTTTATAGTTAAAATTATAATAAAAATATATATAATTGTAATAAAATTATAATATAGAATAATAATATTTCGTAATATTTTTTCGTCATTTCAAGTAATAACAAAATTTAAAGAATAAAGCATTTCAGTCATGGACTAGTAGACTAGTTCCTGTATCATCTAAAAAAAATTCAAATCATTTAGTCGACTGCCAAAAATAGTTATTACGTTTCAAAAGTTGTACCAACACTTTTGTGGGCCACTGTATGTACAGTGGGTAACGAAAGTATTCGAACACTAGTATAACTTCGACTTCTACGCCATATATTTAAATCAACATACATCGAAAAGAAAAAAATACTTTACGTATATTAAAATAGAGTATAAAATAAAAGAAATATATATAATAGAGTATATAAAATAAAGTATAAATATAAAATAATTAAAAATAATTAATATAATATAAATAATAATATATAAATAAATACAAAAAAGAATAAATAATAAAATAAATAATAATATATAAATAATAATTAAAAATAATTAAATATAAAATAGAGTATATAAAAAAGAGTATAAAATGCAAGAAACCTTCGATTCAGTATAAAACGTAATCTGCATAATTGAAGAAAAATAAAGGAACATCGAATGTCGTGCAACATAAGTATTCGAGCGCCATATAAAATTCGATCAAAAAAAGTAATAATAAAATCAAAATAAATTTTCCTATTAATTTTGATTACCAATTTCATACCTCTATTGTTTAACAATACGTTTCAAGAAGTTCGACGCTCGAAAATACAAGTATTTATTTAAAATCGATCTCTATTTTACACGATTTTACGATTTGTTTTTATTTTATACACGTGTATTATAGCATGTACGTTTTCCGTTAATTTAACTCGAACGACCGAGTTCACTTTACAGGGACAGACAGCCGTGCCTAAGACACGCGTGAACATAAATTGTTATCTAAATTCGTTAACGCATCCGAAGAAATTCGTTGTTGCACGTTCCGCTGCAACTGCGGACGATTTCACAACGCGATAACCGTGAACGACGACAGACTGTTCCCCACCGGTGTTTGCGATTTTCATTAAAAAAATCCGGAATCACGCGTGCACGGAATGCCGCGCGATAACCTCTACGAATGACCGTGATTAGGACGTCCGGTCGTGTCCGAGCTGCTAAGAAAACTCGGCGAAGTTCGCCGCTTTATTGGCGAAGACCCGCGACGAACTTCCGCCGCGGGTCGAGGCTCGACGTCCTTCGACATTACCAACCTTGAACAGCTTAGAGGCACGCTACCTTGTCAGCTTTCCCGTCAAGCACTCATTCATTGTTTCTCGCTTTCATCGTTCACTATTTACATATAATATTACGATTTCTTCCGTCGCTACGGTTGGAGGCAGACGAAATCTGACGAAGCTTGAGCGTAGCATAGAGTTCACTGTGGCACTCTACAAGAACACAAAGCACACGCGTGACACTGTGCCGAACGAGAGACCGATGAATCGATCCGGAGATCGATCCGAAATTCCGCCGGCGTAGTTCGCGCGTTACCCGCGCAACAAAATCTTACGCGCGAGAGGTTAGATTGTTCCCTGATCGAAGATGTGACTCGGATCGCACTGTATCCTTTCCGCCGTTGCACTCGACTGTGCCCGCCACCGGCTCGTCCCGGAGCATCTGATCCGACGACAGCCGTCTCGATCGGTACAGGTTTAACCGTCGACCGGTTTGCGAAAAAACCTGCCCAGGAATACCAGCGATGGGCCACGGGACGCGTCCTTGCGCCGCGGCGCCGTTGCAAAAGTGTCGCGGTGTAGTGGGGTACGCGACGACGGTGCTTCTTCGCCTCGGATCGTTCCATTGGCATCGCGCGGATCCGGCATCGACGTGCGAAGAACCCAGCGAGATAAAGAAGAGGAAGCGGTCTGACGTCTTTCCCGCGCGACACGGTGCCACTACCACTTTCCCACTTGACCAGCTCATTTGTATGAGAAAACAGCCGTTCCCGAGCGACGCGGTACCGCAGGACGAAGAAAAAGGAGGCGGTCGAACGCCTTGCGCGGGATCGGACTTTCAGGGGTCCTCTCTTCGCCGGTCCGATCTCGATGGATACTACTAGAAACGTTCTCTTGCTGCGCGCTGTGCTTTTTTTGTAATTTAAGCTGTATAGTAAATAAAATATATAATATATATAATAAATTATATAACATATATATATAATAATATATGCAATAAATTATACGTAATATATAATAATATATATAATATATAAAATATATTATATAATATATAATGATATATATAATAACTTATGTGTAATTGTATATAATATATATAATAAATTATATATAATATGTAATAATTTATAATAATATATAATAATATATAACAATACTCATAATAATATGTAATAATATATATAATAAATTGTAGATAACAAAAAAATATATATATACAATAATATATATAATAACTTATACATGATATACAATAACACAAATAATAAATTATTTATAATATAATAGCGCTGCATACACATTCTCAAAAAAATTATACTGTGCGTAACTATTTTAAATAATGACATAAAATAAATTTCATGACCAGACTGCGGATTTAATTCCTTCAATAATCGAAACTGTTGTATAAAATTTAAAACAGTGAAATGATTCGAAGGACTCGTGTACTAATTTCAACTTATTTTGCATAAAAATTTGCAGTTCCGGTGAAATACAAAATCTCACTTAGTCGTTACCTAGCAAGTCCACTTCCGACGTCTTTATTGAAATTTTTGTTGACATTTTTTGATCGTTGAAAAAACATACCCAGTTTGTGAATTATAAAAATACTTGGCAAACGAAAGTTATAGTGTTGCGACTGAACCACGAATCTTCGCGCAAAATACAAATGTTTGTAGGTAAATTGTGTGAAATGTGAGTTAAATAGAAATGTATTTCTTTTGTTAACGATTTTAATAAAAATTCAGAAGAATTTAGAAACGTTCTTAACTCTTTTCCTAATGTCTTTCTAATCTCTATAAAAATACTCCGACTATTCGGCCTATAACTACTGTGCCATACGCCTAATAAATTAGATCATTTTTTACCTTTGAAGTTGAATAACTTGCAATTCGAGCGATATAAATTGTTAATGCAACGTGTATATATAATGACACAAAGAATCTTGCCGTTCGGCATGAATGAGTTCATTAGTATTAATAGATTCGTTATGAGGAATTCATTAAGAATTAACCTTTACCTCGGCTGGTGTTTTTATGAATGGATGGAGCAATACAAGTGGTTTTTGTCCGAAGATGAAAACAATTCGAGCTTGAGTCTAAAAAGTTGACGTCTCTTTTATTTTCTTGCGGATTATTACTGTTCAACGCGCGTTAAGCGCGGAGCCGATTTTGCTAGGTTTTGCAAGAGCAAATACTAGAAACCGATGACTGTCTCTTGTGGTATTATTATCCGGACGTACGATACGTTGTTGAACATCTTATCATTTCAGATCACAACATTTCGATCGAAGTTCTATTACATAGAATTGCTAGCTACTAATCACAATTACATCTGCATTGTGTGGTCTATCCTATGCGAAATTATTCACCTATTAGCAGGCGACTGCGAATTTATAACCGTACGTGAATAACATAATGTTGTAAGAGCAAATACTAGAAACCAATGATATTGTTTCTTGTGGCATTATTATCCGGACGTATACGATTCGTTGCTGAATATCTTATCTTTTCAAATCACAAAATTTAAAGTTTACTTANAATACTAGAAACCAAACAAAATGATTGTTTCTTGTGGCATTATCATCCGGACGTACGATTCGTTGCTGATCATCTTATCTTTTCGAATCACAAAATTTAAAGTTTATTTAATCATCAGGTATTTATTTAAAAACTGATCATCAATGTTGTAATTCCAAGTATACGATATATTATATATATTCTATTTATTTATCGAACTTTTAATTAGTTAATAGTTTTTGCTAATTAAGATTATAACAGTTACAATAATGTTATTCACGTCTCCCGTTGTTTTGAAACCTTTACGACTCACGCTGAGACATGAATTATGTGCTCTGCTTGTAACTGTTATAATCTTAATTAGCAAAAACTATTAACTAATTAAAAGTTCGATAAATTAATAGAATATATATAATATATCGTATACTTGGAATTACAACATTGATGATCAGTTTTTAAATAAATACCTGATGATTAAATAAACTTTAAATTTTGTGATTCGAAAAGATAAGATGATCAGCAACGAATCGTACGTCCGGATGATAATGCCACAAGAAACAATCATTTTGTTTGGTTTCTAGTATTTGCTCTTACAACATTATGTTATTCACGTACGATTATAAATTCGCAGTCACCAGCTAATAGGTGAATAATTTCGCATAGGATAGACCACACAATGCAGATGTAATTGTGATTATTAGCTAGCAATTCTATGCAATAAAACTTCGATCAATTCTGCGAATTTCTTGTTTTAGGTTTCATTACATAACTCGCGGTGTATATTTCAGTCTGTGCATGACAACAGTAAAATAACAATAGTAAAATTAATAAAAACTAATAGTTAATTACTTTTACGTTTGATGAAAGAAAGCAATTTTATTTTATTCAAATTATGTACCGAAATGAACAGCTACTATACGAAAAATTTTGATGGAAAAAGTGTTTATTATTTAAGCGAAGCTATTAATCGGGAAATGTATGCCTAATTAAACCTATCAAAATCCACTCTAACAGGATCAGAACATCCCAATCCAAATCTTTAACTTAAATCTTTAACTTAAAGCTTATCTTAAAACTAATCGACAGAAAATGTATAACATTTCTATACAAATTTTTTGATAGATAAAATATAATATTAATAAATAATAACAATTGGCAAGTATAATTAATACATGTTTAATATAATATTTAACACGATTTTACTAGCGTTTCGGCAACCACAAAAAAATTATACTTAATTGTTAATGTAACATTTCTGATGAAATGATAGATAGATAGATAACTGATAGCTTTGCTGTTAATCCAGGTACTAATTTTACAATTAATTGTGTAACGTAAATTAAAACGACGAAACTCATGTAATTGGAACCTGACAGTCAATTTGTCATTTTGCTATTATTCCAAGTACTTGTTTCACAATCGAGTCGTTAATCTTTCAGATCGGTCATCAAACTCGTGCAACCGAGGCTACAATCGTTTTTTATTCAACGTTTAAAAAGCTGTACTTCCCCGGGCGAAATGCTTGCCATAACTGGTTTTCGTCACTTTCGATGCAATCCAACGAGCATGTCGGGAATCCCTGCTGACATGCGAGCACAATAAAACCAAATTGTCTACGTTCAACAAGGAAACGAGGAGAAGTAGCAACCATTTTGTAGTCGAAATTTATTCCAGGACACGTTCGACTTCCACAATATTTAATTGTATAGCGAACTTATCCAAATTTTTGCCCACGAATTACCGTTGTTAAACGATTTATAATTTACAGTACGAATTCACAGAAGTACAAACGTGAATATGATCAAATAGAAATGTCTACTATTCAAATTTATGTAAATATGTGTGTGTGAAAAATTAAGACATTTCTCAAATGTGTCAAACAAACTTATAAAACTTTTATTTTTACTTCTTAGTAATTGTAAAAATGATGAATATTATGCACTTGTATAAATATGACAAATTAAGACATTTCTCAAATATATCAAACAAGCTCATAAAACTGTTATTTTTACTTTTTAATAACCGTAAAAATGATGAATTTCATGCATTTATATAAATATGAAAAATTAAATTAAAACT